TCTAAACACTAGGATGCACATCACTCCATTTTATCACCTCTTTTGTTTGGGTGTCACAAACAGGATATTCATTCATTTAACAAATATCTGTGGAATACTGACCATGCTAGACAATGTTCTGGTCACTGACAAACAGACACAGCCCCTGCTCTCCTTCAGCTAGTGCACGGTGGGGCATAGGGAGGCAGAGATAGACAGTGACCACAGACACAAACAGAATCTCAGAGAGTAGCATATTAAAGAAGACAATAAGATGGGGAAGGAAAATAGTGATCGGAAAACATCCTTAGGTGAAACACACAGGGAGAACTCTCCAGAAGATGACAGTTGAGCTAAAACCTAAAGGATGACAAACAGCTGGTGGAGGAAAACTTGGAGAAAGCATATTTCAGGGAATGGACCCAGCAAGTGCAAAGGTCCTGAGGCAGGAAAGAACTTGAGGAACAAAGCAAAAGTTATCACTGTGGCTCTGTTAATCGGAGTAAGGGGGGGGCTATGGATTGTCATTAATGTTCTCAGATGTCATTCTGACAGGAAGGTCATCTGGGAAAGCAACACGTTCCTAGGAGATGTCCACCCAGGTGCTGGGGGCGACACGTCGTGAGGGCTGCAACCTCCTTTCCATGGCTCGGCAGCACAGGATGCATACACAGGAAAGCACTAACCACGCACTGTAGGTGAAGAGGAGTGCGCCACTGCATTCTCCTTTCAACTTTTCCACTTGAAATGTTCACAACAGAAAGGAAAGCAGGAGAGGGGGAAAGGCTGGAAGTGGCAGGAGGGGCGGGATCACACAGGTCTCAGGATCGCTGTGCCCAGGAATTCAGATTTCCACCTCAGAGGAGGGGATTGTAAGCCTGGAAGCGGCATGACCGGGTTTGTTTTAACATCACCAGCCCAACTGCTCTGAATTTTCCCAGTCTGGTTTCACCGGCCCTGGAAGGGTCCCTCAGGGCCCACAAGAGCACGTTTCCAATTCTGATTTAAGCACCGCTCACTGTGCACCTTCTGCACGCCAGGCACTCAGTGTGTGCAAATTTCACCTGCACATGACAACTTGCGGTGTCTTTGACAGTAGCCCCACATTTAAAGGAAACTGAGGCCCAAGGGAAGTCAGCTAAGGAGGCTCCAGCAGGTACTGACAGCCCAGTTAGGACCTCTGTGCCGGACCAACACCAAGTCACCATCCCATTTTTACTAACTTACCACCATTATTAATAATGATCAGCAAATTATAATCAAAGCTGAAAGGTGATGTTTTTCCAACATGATGATAAACCTATGCTGACCCAGTGAGAACCCTAAATTAAATTGCACCGATGGTCAGATGGAGCCTGCCTTTCCCTTTAATAAAACAAAGGCCTGCAAGCTCTACCTCGTCCACGGAGACGTGCAGCTAGGCCACCAGGAGCCACGTTACTCTTTAATACTCCGCTGCATGTGCATCAGCACTGCTGTGTGCATCGATGTTGTGATCACCTCACCAACAATGTGGAACTCACATGTTTAAGCTCTCCTGCTTGTTTATCCAAGAGAACCATTGGTATGTCATTAAGCAGCTAGACAAATTGCCACTGTTATCTGCAGTCTTTGAACAGTGTCTTAACTGGAGACAGGCCCACTGTCTTTCCCGGGGAAGAATTCAGAATAAACATCATCGCCCTTTGAGATCACTCATAAGCAGCCCCCAGGAGACTGCAATTACAGGCGTTTATAATTCTCCCTCCCCGACCAACCCTTGATTCATAAATGTGCACTTTTAGGTGTCAGGCGTTAGAATAAATTAGACTATACAATTACGTGTAATTAAAGGGGAAAATGGGTAGCACGCTGCAAAGATTAGCTGGGTTTTGCTGAAGTAAAGCATGTCTGTGTCCGTGTGTTGGCCCAGGGAGGCAGCATGAAATACAATTAGTGCTCTTCTGACTTAATGGGGGTTTATGGAGCTGTTTTTCATTATCACAATATCTCAAGATATGTAGACAGTTTGCTCCAATGCCAGCGCATTTCTACTGACAGGACAGGGTGGGTCTAACTGAAAATTCTGCAGAATTAACCACACATTTATATTGTTATGGATGAAACCGGAATTGGTATTTTAAAACCCATGCAAAACCGTCTCCAACTCGGGAGCTGAGAAGTTGGAGCCCAACCCTCCGAGACCGACTGCTGGCTCCTCTGCCCTCGAAGAGGCAAGTTTCGGGCAGACTTGTGTGCGTTATTAAAGCCACCTGCGCGCCCGCTCTGCGGCCCGCTTGCCTGGGCCCTTCTGCCGCCAGGTTCCTACTTTTAATGTTTCTCCTTTTCGCACCAATTTGTTTGAGACATGTTAAAAAGCAGCCTTTTACAACCCTCATAAAACCCCATCTACTCCAAGCTAGACCTGGCCAGAAGGGCCAGGGACAATCAGCTAGAGTTTCACCCTCTGGAGAAGCAGAAGCACACAGCAAGACGGCTACTCTCATTGTGTGTGAGCCAAGGGAATGCCAATGCAACTCGGGCCCAGCCCGCTCCACGGGACCGGCAGGTGTCCTGCACGGCGGGCCACGGAGGAGCTCGCAGAAGGGAGAAATGAGGCATGGAGGTTTCAGGAGAAAGGTCCCCCGAGGTTAAACCAACAATGGGGGACAGTTGGGGCCGCCTGAGGAGCTTGAAAGGCCCCATTGGAGTATCCGGCCAGGACTAGTACAGTGACAGATGTCATCAGGGACTCGAGGGAGACAGGAGAAAGGCTGCCCCAGACAGCGGGACACGGGCAGCAGGGACTGGAGACTCCAAGCGTCCCAAGATGCTGCACAGCCTCCTCTGGCCCTGGCTGAGCCATGGCTGAGCGACTCCTTAGGCTCGGGTACACCTGAGCCCTGAACCCGGAGCCCCCGCCCATCTCCAGGCAGACACTGAACCCTGAATGGGACCAGCAGCTCCCACCTGTCTGGAGGGGACCAGGACAGCAGGCTGCGGCTGAGGCTGAGGCCGAGGCCCTGGAGAACCGTGGGGTTTGCTGGGAGATACAGGAAGACACATGGCCTCCTGATGTTCCATCCTTGCAGACGTCTGCGCTGGTGAGCGGGTCCCCGCGTGGAACACATCGTGCACACACAGCCCTGGCCTGCAGTGAACACGCGCGCACACATACACAGGCATCCACAAGCCAGATCCGTCCCCTTCTCCCTAAGGGAGGACCAGGGGCAAAATGCAGACATCACCCCTTAGTTCTTTTAACAGCAATGACTGACAAGATAATCGAGTGACACCATCTCAGGCCTGCACACAGCCCCTCCTTGCTGAGGTTCCCTGCTGAAGAGAGAAAAGGACAGGGAGGAACTCCTGGGCAGGGCCCAGCTAGGGAACGAGAGCCTGTTCCTGAGATCCAAAAGGCAATGTGCAGTGAGGGACACAGTGGTGTTTGAACTTTTCCACAGTGGAAATCCTCCCAGCCCAGAAACATTCTCCAGAACCTAACATAAAAGTGAGCAGGATGCAGATCTTCCCCTAGGCCTCCTTCCCACCCACTCCCCACAGGGCTCCGAGGACCACTGAGAACACTGCTGCTGCATGTCCCCCCACAGACCCCAGTTCCAGTGGGTTGAAAGCCCACCCGCCAGCTCTGCCTGCCGGCAAGATCCTTTACCTCTCGGAGCATCCATTTTCCTGAAAGATCCTTCAGAGAATGGCATGAGATGACCTGGTGGAAGCACTGCCCCTCGGCCCACATGACCTGCTGCAGCTGGGCTGTCCAATACGGGAACTAAGCCGCATGCAGCTGGTCCAGATGGAGAGATATTTTACGCAGAAAATACACACCACATGCAAAGATTAAGAACACAGAATGTAGGAAAACACACTAATAATTCTTATATTGAATATATACTAAAGAGATGATACTTTGGATATGTTGGTTAAATAAGCTATATTCTTAAACTAATTCCACCACTCCTGCTAAGGGCCAGTACTACATAATTTTCACAGCCGGCACTATACATGTATGGTACAGCAACACAGTGGGTCTGACCTCCCTTGTGAGGAGACAGAAAGGGAGGAACCCCAATATTTGTGGGTCTACGAAGGAGAAACAGCAAGCATGACACTACTGCAAAATCAGCCTCCACAGTGGGGCCAGCAGGTGATTTGGAAAAGTGAATTCAAGGATTTTTGTGATGTATTTAGACTCTAGATTAATCTGGCATGCCCCAGGGAGACCAAAGGGAAGCGCCTCGAGCACCCTCTAACCCAGTCAGGACGTTCGATTTGAATTTCAGATTTAAAAACAAAGACTTTCTAGTATAAGCATATCCCCACAAACACCCATAAACATCCTGTATTTTTATTAATCTGACAACTCTAAGCATGATTAAGAGTAACAACAGCCTAGGGGGAGTAATGGCAAACCTTTCAGAACTTTAGACGATAACAAACAGCCCACCGTGCCATGGATTTGCCACCACTGGCCAGGGTTTAAGAGTATTGCTTGCAGCTGGGCTTCTGAGGTTCAAATCCAGATCCATCACTTACAACTGTGTGACTTGAGCCAGTAAATTTAGCTACTCAGTGATTTGGTTTCCACGTCTGTAAAATGGGTATAACGCAGTGACAGATTTCCCTCTATTAGGTTGAGATGGGTTACTACTGCCCACAAGTGCTTTTCTATAGAAGGATCTGTTTCCCTTTAGCAGCTCAGCTGCATTTTTTGCAGCTACTGGTTGATTTTCTGCTGGCTCTAGGCCCACCCCTTCCAGCCCCATTCCCCTGGGCCTCGGCTGTGGTGCTGGGGACAGTGGAAACCACGGCAGACAGCACCACCTTGAGTCGAATTCCCCGCTTTTGGAGGAAGCCGGTTTCTCGTTTCTTTCCTATTCTCGGGCCATTTCTGAGAGGCGCCGCTGTTCTCACTTGAGCTTAAGTTGATTTCTCGGAGAGCTTCCGAGGCGCATGGGAAGGTCCCAGGTGCGTGGGCAGCTCTCCCCGCGGTCTAGCTTGGGGCTGGCCAGGTGCCGGCGTCTCCAAAGGCAAACGCATGTAGATACCGGCGAGCGCCGGGCGTTCAGCGCAGGCAGTCGGGTGTTTGCAGACCGGGGTGAGCCCCTGTGAAAACAGATAAAAGAAAACATTGATTAACGTGTCATTACGAGGGGAGCGCCGGGCTGGGGCTGTCGCACGCCCCAAGAAACACTTGGCTCCTTCCCGCTCCAAGGGAGGAGAGAAAGAAGAAGAAAAGGAGGCAAGGGTTCTTTTCGTTCCCGGCCAAGTGGACCCGATCGATGGTCTTCCCGACTTTCTTACGATATCTGATTTATTAAAGATGCCCCCCTTGTCGGTGTGGGGCGCGCACGCACACACAGACACACACTCGCGCACACACGGCTCTGGCTCGCGTCCCTCCCTCGTTTCCAGCTCCTGGGCGAATCCCACATCTGTTTCAACTCTCGCCGAGGGCGAGCGGGAGCGAGTGTGTGTCGGTGAGTGTGCGTCTGTGTCCCGGCGAGGGTGCGCGCTCGGCGGCGGGAGCGCGGCCAGGCAGCCCGCGGGGCCGGAGGCTGCTGAGACCACAGCGCCGGGACCCCGCTCAC